GAATGGTGAGGTTTTTTGTTTGTTGGGGCGGGGGTACACCTGGCTGTGTCCAGGGCTTTTTACTGGATCTGTGCTCATGGATCACTCCTGAGGTAAATCAGGCAAACATATAAGCTGTCAGAAATTGAATCTGAGTCAGCTGTGCAAGATAAGCGCTTTACCCACTGTACTTTCTCTCTGGCCCCTCAGTGAGATTTCTGACACTCCAGTGCATGTCCCAAAAGAATTGGGGGCTGGATAAGCCTGAAGTTGGATGAGGCAAAAAGGAAGCCAAAAAATTACAAAAGATTATTCAATCTTGGGCTGGAGCGATAGCACAATAGGTAGGGCGTTTGCCTTACATGCGGCCAACCTGGGTTCAATTCCCAGGATCCCATATTACTCCTGGCTCTGTACTCAGGAGCTACTCCTGGCAGTGCTCAGGAGACCAAATGGAATGGTGGGGTGGGGATCGAACCCAGCTTGACCACGTGCATCAAATCCTGGTAGGGCAAATGCCCTATCCACTGTACTATTGTGTACTTTTTTTTTTTTTTGCTTTTTTGGGTCACACCCAGCAATGCTCAGGGGTTACTCCTGGCTCAGGAATTACTCCTGGCGGTGCTCGGGGACCATATGGGATGCTGGGAATCGATCTGAGTCGGCCGCATGCTAGGCAAATGCTCTACCTGCTGTGCTATCACTCCAGCCCCCAAAATGGAACATTTTTTAAAAGGTGCTGATAGTATGATCATCTTACACCTTTACAATAGTGTGATTCCTTTTGCAAGAGCAGAAAGCCCCTTGATGATAAATATTTATAAAGAGCCCTCAGTGTAAGGTGCATTGACATTTATTTTAATTTCAGCGTTGCTGGGGATTGAATTCAGGGCTACAAATATGTGAAGCAAAGCAAGGGTCTGCTGCTGAATTATCTCCATGGTCTCAAATTGCTCTGTTTGAGAATATTAGATTTGTGCTGTCTACTATGGTGACCACTAAACACTTGTGACCAGCCACTAGTCATCTGTGGATAATACTATATAATTTCACTTAAATGAATACCTAGAGAAGCTAGTCCTTAGAAACAGAATGTAAAGGGCCGAAGAGATAGTACAGTGGGTTGGGTGCTTGCCTTGCATGCAGCTGACCCGGGTTCGATCTCCACCTTTCTGTATGATTTTCCAAGCACTGCCAGGAGTGATCCCTGAGCTCAGGGCCAGGAGTAAGTCCTGAGTGGCCCCAAAGCAAAACAAAGCAACAGCAGCAGCAACAATGTAAAGGGTGATGGTTAGGGACTGAGGAGCGGTGGAGATGAGGACTTATGATTTCTTTTCTTTCTTTCTTTTTTTAAAAAATCAGTGCTGGAGATTTAATCCAGGCTCTCATATGTGCAAGGCAGATACTCTATTCCTGAACTACATCCCCAGCCTCTGAAATTGTTGTTTGTTTGTTTATTTATTTATTTTTTGCTTTTTGGGTCACACCCGACAATGCACAGGGGCTACTCCTGGCTCATGCACTCAGGAATCACTCCTGGCAGTTCTCAGGGGACCATATGGGATGCTGGGAATCGAACCTGGGTCAGCTGCGTGCAGGGCAAATGTCTTACCCACTGTGCTATCGCTCCAGCCCCATATTTATTTTTATTTTGTGTTTTTTTTTCTTTTGGTCATACCTGACAATTCCCAGGGGTTACTTCTGACTCCGTACTCAGGAATCACTCCTGGCAGGGCTTGGGGACCATGTGGGGTGTTGGGGATCGAACCCAGGTTGGCTGCATGCAGGGCAAATGCCTTACCCACTCTACTATCTCTCCAACACTGAAATTGATGGTTAATGGGTATAGAGTTTCAGTTTTTCAATATGAAAAAGTTCTGGAGATGAGCTCCAAATAAACATAACATTACTGAAATGTACACTCTCAAAAAGTAAGGGTGTTAAATTTTACATTGTGCTTTTTCCAATTACAATTTTAAGAAACAAAACCCAAAGAAAGGAAGTGAGAAAAAAACTTTTAAGTTTTGAGATTTATTTTTAGAATACAGAAAAATTTTCAGATGGGGTAGACTCACGGGCTATCAGAAAATGGATGGGGAAAAAGAAACAACAACAACTTTGTGATCTGTGTGTCAGAGCCACCAAAACAAAATACCACAGATCGGGTGACACAAGAAGAATTGATTGTCCTACAGTGTGGAGGCCAATTCCAAGACTGATTTCTCCAGAGACCTCTCATGTTGGCCTGCAAATAACTGTCTCTGCCCTTTAGACTTCCATCCCTGCAAACGCACGCTAGAACCCCTTCCATTTCTTCTAAGACCACCTTCCCAGCCCCCACTAAAGGTTCAAGTACAGAGCTCACCAGTAGCCTATGGGCTCTGAGACAGCCCATAACCACCTCATTCCTTGGGTTATTGGAAGAGCCGTGAGCAGCTTGTTACAAAGCTAAGTCTGAGTTTGTAGAAGGTCCCCACTCCCGACAATAGCTAGAGCACACTCTATGTGTATTGTTCTTGCTTATGCCAACCTTCTAAACTGCCGATGACACATGTGAATCTCTCGGGACCAGCCTGGATCAGCCTATGAACCGCAGAGCAAAGAGCAGGCCGTGCGCTATTTATGTGGAACCAGATATACAGTTAAAGACAAACTGTGCATGACTGTGCACCCCTTAACCTATAAGGACGAAGCTGCAGGTGGGAGAGGATCAGGTGGGAGATCAGTTTGTTTTGGAAAAAATTCAGTACTGGACCTCAAATTAAGATCCTTAGTAGAGAAGCGATGAGTGAGGGGCCAGGTAAGAATTTCACCCGAGATATATAAAGCAGTCACAAAACTCAAAAAATCAAAAAATCCAGTGATCCCATCAAAAACGGGGGAAGATCAACGGTCACTTTACTTAAAGTCAGCAGGCATATGAAAAAGTGTTCATTAACAAACATTTATTTTAGGCTTTTTTTTCTATTTGGGGGGCTGGAGCGATAGCACAGCGGGTAGGGCGTTCGCCTTACAAGCGGCCAACATGGCCGACCCGAGTTCGATTCCTCCGCCCCTCTCGGAGAGCCCGGCAAGCTACCGAGAGTATTCGATATGCCAGACACAGTAACAACAAAGTCTCCAATGGAGACGTTACTGGGCTCGCTCGAGCAAATCGACGATCAACGGGAGGGCCTTTACCTTTTACCTTTCTATTTGGAGGCTACATGCAACAGGTGCTCAAGGCTTACTCCAGGCTTTGTGCCCAGGGGTCAATCCTATTGGGATTTAGGGGACCATATATGATGCCAAGGATCAAACCCAGTTATCTGTGCATAAGGTGAGCACCCTATCCTCTGAATAATTGCTCCGCCCTTCCCTTATCAAAAAACACTTATTAACAAAAGAAACCTTGGTACATCTACACAATGGAGTACTATGTAGCAGTTAGAAAAGATGAAGTCATGAAATTTACATACAAGTGGTACTACATGGAAAATATTATGCTAAGCGAAATGAGTCAGAAAGAGAGGGACAGACATAGAAAGATTGCATTCATCTGGGTAACATAAAGTAACAAAATAAGAGACTAACACCCAAGAACAGCTGTGATAAATACCAGGTTGTTCACTCCATGGCTTAGAGGCCAGCTGCACACTCTAGGGGTAAGGGCAGCTCGGATAGAGAAGGGAGCACCAAATAAAGGGTGCTGGGAAGATCTGCCCAGGATGGGAGATGCCTGCTGAAAGTAGTCTATGGACCGAACATGATTGCCACCCAATGTCTCTTCTGCAGACCACAGCACCCAAAAGGAGAGATAGGACAAAAGGGAGTGCCCTGACACAGAGGCAGGGTGGGATGGGGGATGGGGGGGTGGGAGGGATACTGGTAAAGGTAGGGGTGGAGAATGGGCACTGGGGAGGGACAGGTACTCGATCATTGTATAACTAAAACCCAAGCACAACAACTTGTAAGCCTACAACTGTACCTCATGGTGTTTCACTAAAAACAACAACGACAACAACAACAACAACAACAAAAACACTTATTAACAAACAGTGAGTGAAGGGAGGGAATGAAAATCAGAACAGTGGTAGGGACAGAATACAAAGTGACTTTATATTTAAGCACTATAAATTAAACACTACTGGATATCTACTACCTGAACTATAATTTAAAAAACATTAAAGGTATTTACGAGTAAAAATGAGGAAAAAGACCCCAAGTTTAAAAACTTTTTTTGATTTTTGGGCCACATCTGGCAGTGCTCAAGTCTTACTCTTGGCTCTGTACTCAGGGATCACTCCTGGTAGGCTCAGGGGACCATTTGGGGTGTCATGGTTCGAACCCTGGTTGGCAAGGCAAATGCTCTACTTGCTATACCATCACTCTGGCCCTAAAAGACCCCAAGTTCTTTGGGATCCACATGAAACGGCAATCACAGAGTACAGCAGGAATCAGTAAGGAAGCAGGCCAGGATAGTGCCAGTGATGCCTGCATGGAGCAGAAAATGCTCACATGGGAAATGACTTCTCCTGGGGTGTGGGCTGAAGGATTCCAGGAATCAGATATCTATGTTCTATGTGACTCTGGGGCCAGGGAATTCCTCTACTTCACTTCAAGCTGTTGGGGTCCCAACCACACAGTTGACACTGAGACTGAGTCTGCTCTGGGACATCACTCTGCCAAGTTCTTAGCAGGCCAGGAGGAGGGGAAAGGATCATGAAGAGACATAAGCTCTCAACAAGTGTTTGTCAATAGTATTGACTGCTCAAGCCTTGTCTTCTCATCACACTCAGCCTCGGAAGACTGTAGTTCTCTGACACTTCCCTGCCCCCAGCTTTAGCTCACATAGCTATGAAGACCCAAAGTCAAGAGAATAGTTGGGGCCAGAGAGATAGTACAGAAGGTAAGGTGCTTGTCTTGCACCCAGTTTGACCAGGCTTGATCCTTGTACGGCATATGGTCCCCTAGCACAGCTGGGTGTGACCCAACACCCCTCTCCCCCCAGAAAAGACAGAGACATAACAGATAATTGTCACTCAGGTAGAAAGCCAGCTTTTAATTTCTTGTTTCCACTTAAAAATTAACATAAACAAGCTAGAAAATAAGGGGACACAAATGGAGAAGGATGAAAATACTCTGCGTGTCGTCTAGTGTATAATTGAAAGAAACTGGGAGACAAGTATGGGCGCGAGGGGGCTGGTGCGATAGCACAGCGGGCAGAGCGTTTGCCTTGCACGCGGCCAACTAGGGTTCGATTCCCAGCATCCCATAGGGTCCCCTGAATACTTCCAGGAGTAATTCCTGAGTGTAGAGCCAGGAGTAACCCCTGTGCATCGCTGGGTGTGACCCAAAAAAGCAAAAAAAAAAGGGAGCGAAGGCCAATTGAGAGAGGACAAAGTTGACTCTAGTCACATGTCTTTAAGTGCTCAGCTCTAACGAGGGGTAGACATCTGCACAAATTTGTCTCCAAACTTTCAGCTACTTGATGTGCTCAGTCCTTAAATAGAGTTTTATTGGAGACACTGAGAAAGGGAGGGAGCTTTCCCTAACCGAAATAATGCTTTAGTACTTTAAGTATAAAGTTGAGTATAATCCGCACCAGAATGCTTAACAATCTCTTGAAAAAGTAAGTCTTATCATTTAAAGACATTGAGTCTGTGCGAGTTTCAGGACTTTTCATTAGCCGTTTGGCTACCTCTTCCAAACGCTCCCAAGACTCATTAGTGCACTCTTGGGTGACTTGGATTGCAGTATTTTTTAACTCCTTTACCAGGTCAGTGGCAGGGAGCTTGTCAGCAAATTCAGCTACCAGTGTTGCTGACTCATAGGTTAGCCAACTATGCTCAGACTTACATGTCTCAGGAAGGGCAACTGAGCGCTGGACCCGCCTAAGCTCCCCTGGGGATACCACAAGGTCTACCCTTGGATCTCCCGAAATGACTTGAGTATTGCCATCCTCTCCCTCTTCGCTGGGCTTTATACTCTCATGGAGGGTCTCAGCGATGTCCTTTCTTGCCATCTTATCAAGCTGGCGCTGCAGACTGTGGGCCTCCTTTGGGCAGCCGACCTCCTCCAGAGCAAGCTCAACAGCCAAGTTGGACAGGTACTCGGGCAGAGGGGCCAAAGAAGGGGCTGAGTGCAAGAGGTGCTGGCAGGTCTCGGCATCTGGGCGAAAGAGCTGTTTGAAAAGCATGTTTAGAAGAGTCTCAGTTTCTCCGAGAGATGGTTGGGTGCGCAGGGAGCCTTTCTGGGCTTGTGTCGGAAAGGCAATTGCTGGAAACAGCCAGACCCAAGAGAGCAGCAGCACAGCCTGGATCATGGTGGATCGGCAGGAATGACCCTGTTGGAAGGAATCAGTGCTCAGGTAGGGCAGCAGGGAAAGACTTCCTATAAAGACACACCCAGGTAAGGGGCTGGAGCAATAGAACAGCGGGTAGGACACTTGCCTTGCACATCGCTGACCTGGTTGGGCCCCTGGCGTCCTATATGGGCCCCTGAGGCCACTCAGAGTGATCACTGATCTCAGAGACAGAAGTAAGCTCTGAGCACAGCCCAGTATGGTGCACAAACAAAACAAAATTTAGAAACATAACTAAAAGAAGACACACCAAGGACCAGAGAGATAGTAAACAGGGGTTAGGGTATATGCCTTGCATTCCACCAACCTGACTTTAAATCCCTGGTATCACTGAGTCATTCCTGAGGGCCACAGAGATAGTATAGTGGGTAAGGCATTTGTCTTGTACATAGCCTGGGTTCGATTTCCTATACAGTCCCCTGAGCACCACCAGGAGTAATTCATGAGTGTTGAATCAGGAATAACCCCTAAGCATCCTGGATGTGACACCAAACTGTGTCCCTACCACAAAAAAAAAAAAAAAACCCAAAGACCCCCCCTGCCCCCCCAAAAAAGTCTTTCTGAGCACAAAACTAGGAATAGTCCCTGAGCACCTCTGGGTGTGCTCCAAGCCAACTTTTAAAAAAATTAAAATTAAGTAAAACCCCAGGCTGGAGCGATAGCACAGCGGGTAGGGCGTTCGCCTTACAAGCGGCCAACATGGCCGACCCGAGTTCGATTCCTCCGCCCCTCTCGGAGAGCCCGGCAAGCTACCGAGAGTATTCGATATGCCAGACACAGTAACAACAAAGTCTCCAATGGAGACGTTACTGGGCCCGCTCGAGCAAATCGACGATCAACGGGCCTTTTTAACCCCCCCCCCCCAAATTGGTCGAGTACAGAGAGTAGGAATGCTTGACTTGCACAGGGCTGACTTGGACTCCATCCCTGGCATCAAATATGGTTCTCTGATCCCTGCCAGGAGTTATCTCTGAGCACAGAGCCAGAAATAAATCCTGAATACCACTAGGTGTGGCAAAAACAAACAAACAAAAACACCAAAACTGGTCTGTGCAAATGAAATGTTTTAGTCCTTGGAAACCTCAGTTACTGCAGACATAGCTTCACCTTATTGATTGTGAGCTGAGCTTACCTGTTTTGGAAAGAATCAAGCCACAGGAAACAGATGATCCACGTAAGTCCTTTGCCTTGATGCTTCCCAAATCGAGTGAGTGCTTTTATAGCTCTCATCTCCATTTTACTCCAATTATTGTTTGTCTTCTGGAAAAGTGAAGGACTTAACACTTAAAAAAATATTTACTCACAGTTTTTTGTGGCTTGGACTTCAACCTTTCTTCTTTGGCTCATGCTAACCAACAAGCCTTTTACCCATGTGGCAAACGCTTTTACTGCCCCACATCCATGTCATCCTCAGGATTTCTCTAGACCTATTTTGAATTTGAATCCGGAAAAATTATAAATTCTGGAAGATAAAAAGAAGCAATACTTAGGGGTTCGAGCAATAGCACAGAGGGTAGGGTGTTTACCTTGCATGCGGCTGACCCGAGTTCGATTCCCAGCATCCCATGGGGTCCCCCGAGCATTGCCAAGGAGTGATTCCTGAGTTCAAAGCCAGGAGTAACCCCTGAGCGTCGCCGGTGTGACCCAAAACAACAACAACAACAACAACAACAACAACAACAAAGCAAAAGAAAAAAAAAGCAATACTTAGAAGGCAATAGATAAAAAGGCAATGATTTTTGGGACAGGAATCCCCAAATAACTCTAAATCAATGGGCTTACAGGTAGAAGAATGGGGAAACAGAACCTACTGATAAGGCAGACCAAATCAGGCAACTTTTCAGTTTTGGGGTGGGGTCGTCTGAGGGGTCTTCCAAGTGGTGCTGCTCAAGTCCTGCAGTGCCAGAGACCACCGGAGCCACTCAGCAGTGCTCTGAGGCCTGGGAAGTGCCTGGGGTTGAACCCTGTTCAGGCACGCTGTCCATCTCCTCTAGTCTCAACATTTTAGTTTTATCTTAATTCTAGTGAACTAGCCAAATGCTTATTATCATGAAAATATTGTAAGTGTGATGACAGTATTGGGTAAGGACATTATATGTCAATCAATAATAAAGCTTAAATATTGAAATATAGACCTGAGACTGTCAGGTTTGGGGTAAGGGAGTGAAGGCAACGATTAGGTTGACTGGAAGTAACATGGGGACATAAATAGAGGGTCTGGAACACACGGGTTCTAGGTTAGAGAGGTAGTAAGCACTGTAGCACTGTCTGTAGCACTGTCATCCTGTTGTTCATCGATTTGCTCCAGTGGGCGCCAGTAACATCTCCATTTGAACCATTGCATCTTTTATTATTGTATGTCCTGTATATATCAATATGTTTATCTGGATTTTAATTTAAAAAATTGGGGAGGGCACATCCAGTGGTGCTCAGGGATCACTTCTGACAAGCTTGGTGGACAATATGGGATGCCAGGGATTAAATCCAGGTGCATGCAAGGCAAGAACCCTACCTGCTGTACTATTGCTCTGGCCCTTAACTGGATTTTTAAATACCATACATAGAGTTTGCAAAACACTAGAACTATTTCCTGTGATAGACAGACAATTATGCCTATCTACCTTTTGGGTGGGTGAGTAGGGGCTCACAAGAGGTGGTGTTCAGGGTTTACTCCTGGATTTGCACTCAGGAATCATTCCTGGAGAGGCTCAAGGGACATATGGGGTGGTGGGGATTGAACCTGGGTCAGCCGTGTGCAAGGCAAGTACTCTCCCTTGTGTACTATCACTCCACTCCCACCACTCTTTTATTTTGTTTGCTTTCAGTTTTTCTGGGGACCACCCCCAGTGATACTTAGGGGTTACTAGTGACTTTACACTCAGGAATTCCTCCCGGAGTTACTCAGGGAACCATATGTGATGTTGGGGACTGAACCTGGGTCAGCCACAACAAAGCAAATGCCCTTCTCACTGAACTGTGCCTTTGCCTTCCACTCCACACTTTAAAAAAAAATCTTTAAAAAAAATTATTTATTGAATCACCATGAGAAAAGTTACAAAGCTTTCAGGTTTAAGTCTCGGTCATACAATGATCAAACACCCCTCCCCTCCCCAGTAATTATTTTTCATCACCAAGAACCCCAAATGACCCCCCCATGCCTGAGGGGCAGATGATTTTTAACTTAACTCTCTCTCTACTTTGATAACATTCATTATTTTGACAATAGATGCACCATTGTTGTTTGGAATTTCCCCCAACAATCAGAACTGCTGAAAAGGCATTGTGAAATAATTTGTTTTCTATTGCTGGTTATGAAAACCATATGATGTCACGCGGCTGCAATATTTTGGATTTCTGATATTTTACTAATTAAGTCTGGAGGGATTTCTGCCAAGAGCCGGATAATTACGAGATTGCTTTCTGTGCGTCTGGTACCATGGTCATGCCAAGAGAGCCGCTCATGGGGGGGCAACTCATAGCCTCGGTTGAGTGTGAAGGAGGAGCCGGTTCCGCCCCCCTCCCCCTGAGGCTGCAGTTGCCCCGTCACCACCGGCTCATACCTGGCTTTCCAATAAGCTCTGAGGTGGCAGCTGCCATGCTGCCAGGGGTGAGGGGGTGGGGGAAGGCGGAAGAGACAGACACCTTTTCCCTCCCGGGGGCGGGGGCATGGCGCTGTACTTTTGTCTTGTTTTGTTTTTGCTTTTTGGGTCACCCCCGGCGATGCACAGGGGTTATTCCTGGCTCATGCACTCAGGAATTACTCCTGGTGGTGCTTGGGGGACCATATGGGATGCTGGGAATCGAACCCGGGTCAGCTGCATGCAAGGCAAATACCCTACCCGCTGTGCTATCGCTCCAGTCCCCTAGCGCTGTAGTTTAAGGCATAGTCCATTCACATTTCTGCTGCAAGCTGCTGGGCTCTGGATTAAGTCTGTATGCCTCTGGTGCCATGGCCATGCCAGAGAGCCTTTTTATGTCACACCGGCAGTGCTCAGGGCTTACTCCTGGCGGTGCTTGGGGGACCATATGAATCAGGGGTCAAACCCAGTTGGGCCTCATGCAAGCACTTGCCCTATCTGCAGTACTATCTCTCCAGCCCTAACAGTCTTTTTTTTAAAAGGAGGATTTATTTGTTTGCTTTCCAAGCTGGGCTCAGGAGTTCTGGGGTTGATATGATGGCTAGTTGGATGACTCAATGGAGCACCACTGGGGGCCACCAGGGTCACCCCAGAAGTGCTCAGAGACCTCAGGGCCATACCCCATAGTACTTGGGGAACTGCAGGGCTACACTTAATTTGCTGGGGTGGATTCTGTGCTGAACTCGGGTCTGTGAATGTGAGACATATAAGCCTGTGTCTCAAATCCCACTCTTAAGAGCTATGAGAGAGAAGCCAGAGGAATAAGACACGCCAAATATCTTCTTTGCTTTGTAGTTTTTATGATCCAAATGATTTTTTAAGGGGTTTGTGTGTGTGTGTGTGTGTGTGTGTGTGTGTTGTGAGGGTGAAACTGATGCCATGACAAGCTGCACCTAACATTAAATCTCAGCTAGGCCTCAGTTTTTGTTTCCCGAAAGCAGGACTTGCAGTTTCTGGTAAACTCCTAGTTGAGCAATTTGCCGAGATAAGGAATTGGGCAGCTGGGTCTGGCTGGTCATGGTCACCGAACCCTCCTTAGAAACTGTTAGTAACCATTGTCTAATTGCTGACCACTGTTGTAATAGGGCCAATGCTAGACATTAACCAGTATATAAATTGCTTCTTAATTCTGAACCCTATATAAGCTGCTTATGATTTGGAGTCTGGGTCCTTGTCAAGACTCCACTGCGTGGATAAGATTTGGGTGTTTTTTTGTTTTTGGGTCACACCCAGCGATGCACAGGGGTTACTCCTGGCTCATGCACTCAGGAGTTCCTCCTGGCGGTGTTCAGGAACCGTATGGGATTCTGGGAATTGAACTCATAAATCACAAGTCACAAATCATCCTGTTAATCGTCGATTGCCTCGAGCAGGCCCCAGTAACGTCTCCTTCATCCTAACCCTGAGATTATATTCAAGGCTCTTTAGGAGAATGAGACCCATCATTGTTACTGGTATTTGGCATATTGGGTACGACACAGGGAGTTTGCCAGACTCTGCCGTGTGGGCAGGCTACATTTGGTAGCCTGCCAGTTTGTCTAAAGTAGGAATGAGATAATAAGATGTCATAATAAGATGTTCCGGGAACTGCGCGGGGGCAGGAGACTGCACTGTTCTCTTCCCGGAACTTGTTTTTATAGTCTCTGAGTCTTGGCCGCTGATGGGATTACACGGCGCCAGGGGGCCAGTTGGTGGGTGTGACCCCCGCCTACTGGAATTTGGAGGATCTGGGTGGAGGATGCTCGGCCCAAATCCAAGTAGGCTTGGAGATCTCGACCCCGGAACCCGTGTGACTTTGTCCCTCTGCCAGTACCTTCATGTGTGCGGAGAGTGGTCTCAGCATGGTGGTGGCTGGTCCTGGAGGTCTTTGGCTGCTGGAGCCCTGGTAGGGGCGGGGAGGAAAGCTCAACCCGCTCCCCTTCAAGGGGCCCCAGCGGCGAGGATGGTCAGGTAAACTGTCCAGTTGAGCAATCTGAACTCGGGTTGACTGAATTCAAGGCAAACACTCTACCCGCTGTACTATCACTCCAGCCCTTTGGATGAGAGTTGGAACCTAGCTCGAGCTAGAAATAGCTTGGGCTAGCAATAAAGGTCCTTTGCTTTTTCATTATCATGTGTGAACTTGATCATTCTGCAATTGGTATCTGAAACTCGTGCACAACAGTGTGTGTGTGTGTGTGTGTGTGTGTGTGTGTGTGTGAGGTGGTAGAGCTCGGGGCATCATATGTGGTGTCAGAGATCAAATCAAGATCAGCTGTTTGCGAGGCAAACACCTTACCTCTGTACTATCTCTCCCACCTGATGACCCATCCAGAATCATGAGGGAGCCAGAAAGATGGTAGCTTCCCAAAAGAGTGAAGGACATGGATTTGCAAATATTTAGAAAAATCTTTGCAGCTCCCACTGAGTGTGCCTCACCTTTGCACCCTAGTAGCAAACAGGCCTTTCTCTGTATTGGCCTGAGGGATTGTCCCGGACCCCTGCTGCCCTATATACAAGACGAGAACAAGTTCATGTCTGTCATCTGAAGGGGACATGGGATAAGGCAGGAAGGCAAATGACCTCTGGAAAGGGACCCCCAAATATTTGTTCTAA